GGCAGGCAGGAAGGAAGGAAGGAAGGAAGGAAGGAAATATTAGCACGGGAAGGAAACTGCAAGAAACTGTCTTGAACACCATACAGACCCCGTCACAGAGATAGGACCTGTAACAATTTTATGGGACTTCGTAATACACACAAACAGAACAATCAAAACTAATCGCCCAAATATCGTGATCAAAGATCACAGAAACAGAATTTAATTTCTTATTCACATAACAATTTGCGATGTATCTTTGAAGATCTTCAAAAAACTACGAAAATGCAAGGATCATGAAGTGGAAATTTTTAAAAAGTGGCACAAGAAGCTAATTGGAGGGATTCCTGGTAGTCCATGCCTTAAAGTAATGCAAAAAAAATTGTATTCACAAGTACAGTTCACGCATTACAAAGGTTTTTTATCTATGTAAAGTGTGTGTGATCTTAGGGTTTTTGCGGGGAGTTTTTTTTTTTTGTTAAATATAACTTGAAGAACACAGACATAATTTGTACAAACGTTTCGATTTATTACTAGCGGGATATACAAAGGCGAATAAAGGGGAGATGGGCCAAGGCTGGTCGACACTAACCATCCTATACCTAGCTAATCCGATTCACAACCCACTCATTCGCTACAATTTACTCATTCATCGTAAGAATCTATCTGTCACCATTCGCTCCTACATACACCAAAATACCTTACACACAGAGGTCACCTACCAAAAACACTGCACGACGTAAAAATTTCAATATGTACAATTATGTATAGAAAAATATATATAAAAATTATATCAATGTTATGAAATGTTGGTTGGTTAGGGGGCGATGACCCCAAAAACAAATTGAAAAAAGAATGATGTTAGTAAGTCCCCTTTACCACTCAAAAATAAGAGTTGCTGCTTTATTCTCTCTTTCGACAAAATCAAGAGGCTCTCTTTCTCTCTAAGGGAGTTGTTAGGATAAAATATAATGGGCATTAGAAATTTTTTTTTAAAAACTGACCCAGTTAAGATGAAAAGTACAGACCAAAACAAACTGGAGGTTGGGGTAGGAATCTCGATTTGGAAAATAGAAACCGTGGCACGTGCCGGGAACGACACTTACATTAACTAGGTAACTAGTATCTCTCTTAACCAGGGGGGGGGTTCCACATGAAACATCCTCGTTGTGAATTAGGGGGACATAAAATAAGAAAATCAAGGTTAGCCCCGTTCACGCGAACCAGACTCGCTACAGATACCCAACTTTCGCTGAAATCTGTCATTACCAAACACTTTCTATCAGTTCTAATCTTCATCCTGAACTGATGCTGAAAGAATCTGATCAGATCCTGATGAAAATAACAATCACATCGCAAGATTTCCTCCATACGGGCCGTCCAAATCACCGTGGTTAGCAGCGTCAGAAACACCATCTGTTTCACCCAGAATACGGGGGCGACACATTGTCACACGCGTCTTCGCGATCAGTGAGTACGAGCTTTTCGGGAGCGATACGAGCCGTCAACTCGCCGACATAGGTCCAGAGCGGAGGCAGACGAGGACAATGGAAGAAGGCGTGCGAAGCCATTTCCTCTAAGCCAAGGTCTGACAAGCCCCATTTGAAAGCTATGTCAATGAGAGATAGCCTATTCCCAACCAATCGCCAGGTAAGCGAAAAATTAGGGTTGCTGCGATAATCCGCCGCTGGCACTGAACAGGTCGCAGAGCGGACGCTTCACCCACCCCCCGCCTCCAACACTAATTCCCGATGTAAAACTCTCCTAGGCCAGAAAAGTTAACTGGACCGAGAAATAAGCCTCAAGGCCGATCGACACTCTAGAAAGGAAATCCAACTGCTCCCAGGGCCTGCGTTGGTACTCAGCCCTAGAAAAAGGAGTGACTACAGCCTTTTTTCTAGGGCTGAGGGAATGCGGCGAGGGAATGCGGCCCTCGCACTACCCTTTAAGTTCGAAATCTCTGTCAACGCGCAGCATAGTAAAGCCAACCTCTAGGCGTGACGGTGACTCGCCAAGTGTGGCATTTCCAGCCCCACGCCGATGACACAGACGTTGGACACAGACATCTCTGTTGCAGTGATGCTTGCGACCACCCGACGCTTTCCTACGTTGCTTACATAGAGGAAGTACAGCCAGCCGATAAATGATGAGGAGAAAAATGTAAGTGACATACGCCTCAGCCCAACCCTTCAAGGAAAACCGCCTTCGGCGCCAAATCTTGACCGTCGCGCCGATCTTTGTCTGTCTGAACATTTTTTCTCCAGCTAGAGTCCGGGCCCGAACCACACTCCGAGTAGGTGGACAAGTCCATCAGTCCAATCAAAGGGCTCCGGAAGATCAAACCCCCTTCCATGCACCTAGTAGGGGAACACTTTTTGCAGTTAATCTTGGATGCCGTGACCTTTGCGTACCGTTCAAGCACCTTCAGCACCACTTCAATGTCGCTTCAGGACGGCATAAAAACATGGCTCGAGCCACACCAGGGACAGCGATTCTCCCCACTAAGACGAGTTCTGACACAAGTTCATTTTTTATGCTGGAGACCCGAGCGCGTACACCAGGGCTAGGAACAAAAATTACCCGCAGCCTCCGCTATGTTGCTCTGGCCTCGGTGCGAGCACCGATCCCTCTCTCTCTCTGGTGCAATGAGAGAGCGCGACCTCGGGCAGCTGCAGCCCATGGCTGGGCACCTCTCAGTATAATTTTTCTCATTTGCGACTATGTCCTTTGACGGCGCGTCCACTGAACGCACTCTGCCTAAAAACAGAGACGCAACTGAGAGATGATAAATAAATGTGGTACAAATCACTCAAAGGAGTAATTTGCACAGAGAAAGTTCAATATCTGTATTATATATCATCTACTTCTAGTCAATATTACTCTTCAGGTTTAACTAATTTATATATTGATTTAAAAAAGATATTTCATTAATTAACTGTCTTTCATCACTGTTTTTTAAACGAGGATTATTTTGATTTTCGTATCAAAAATAGTTCTGTTTAGGAAAATCGTCTTATATAGTGCAGAAAAGTGTTTGAAATTTGCATTTTAATTGGCCTTCAACAAGTTGGCATCTATTTGTAAGACTTTCCTTAACTATAACGATCCAATTTATGTATGAAATGTTTAAAATTTTTGTTTCAAACATTTCAAATATTGAATATATCTTACTTTGCGGGCGAATCCTGCTAGTTGATATATATAAAGTATATGCATAACAAGATTTTGAGACCTAGTGTAAAGCTTCGACCAGAAAGGTATTACACCGTTGCCGGGGTAATGAGTTCAATTTATACCGGTTTCCACACAATTGCAATGCTATATTCACCTTCTTAAATCATTAAAGCTTTTTATTTCTCCAATTAGGCTGTTCTTAAAGGATTATTTAAGTATAGATTTACACTTCATAACACCAAAACTTAAGTGTCATTCCCAAACCTCTGCACACATAAAAAGTATATATATATATATATATATATATATATATATATATATATATATATATATATATATTAAAAAGAAGAAAGAAACTGCTAACGTTTTTGGTTTTGATGCGGATTTTAAAAAAAAATATATGTATTAAGCTTTATTTTCCATAATTTTGCAACACGTGTTTCGGGTCTCGCGACATTCTTCAGGCAAATAGTAGGTATTTTCACATATTATTAAAATGAATTAATTTTCCTTATGCTGTTCGATGTTAAACATTCTCTTTTTTGTGTGGTATTGACTTGAATGTCTTTCTTGGACTGGCGGTGAAAAAGTTCTTCTGCGTGAAGGGTAACAAATCAATTAGGATTGGTCCGGGAAATAATGAGGAAAGATATCTGTATTCTTATCTTTTAATGATGTTGCAAAATTACGGGAAATAAAGCATAATATGTATTTTTAAAAAATCCATTTCTCTCTTCTTTTTAAAATAAACACTTTTCAAACAACTATAACCTCTTCCCCTATATATATATATATATATATATATATATATATATATATATGCTGGCCTTTCCCGTCGTTTATCGACATATGAGGGCCAAGCAACTCAGTTCCTAGGAACCGACAGCCAGACACCTGTACATATGATTTGGCGATAGTGGTGAAGACTTTGGAAAGAAAGAAAGAAAGAAAGAAAGAAAGAAACTGACAAACAAAAGATGGAACAAAAAAAGAAGTAAATTAAAGAGATCAAGACAGAAAGCAAGAAAAGAAAGAAAGAAAGGAACTGACAAACAAACAAACAAAAAAGAAAACAGAAAGCAAGAAAAGAAAGAAAGAAAGGAACAAACAAACAAACAAAGAAAAGGTGGAACAGGAAAAAAGTAGTAAATGAAAGAGAACAAAACAAAAAGCAAAAAAATAAAAAGACAAAATAAAAAGGAAGGAAGGAAAGAAAGAAATAACGAAAGAAAGAAACAAACAAACAAAATGTAGAACAGGAAAAAGAAGTAAATGGAAGAGATCAAAACAGGAGAAAGAAATGGAAAAAGTAAAGAAAAAAAGAAAGAAAGAAACAAACAAACAAACAAAGAAACAAAACGTGGAATAGAAAAAAGAAAGAAATGAAAGAATTCAAACCAGAAAGCTAGGAAATAAAAAGACAAGTAAAATAAATTGGAAGAAGTACACAAACAAGCAAAAGGTGGAACAGAATAAAAAAAGAGATAACGAAATAAATAAAGAAAAGGGAGAAAGAAAGGACGAAAGAAAGAAACAAACAAAAATTAAAACAGCAAAAAGAAATGAAAAAGAACAAGACAGAAAGCAAGAAGATAAAAAAATGATGGAAGAAAGAAAGAAAGAAAGAAACAAACAAACAAACAAACGGTAGAAGAGAAAAAAGAAGTAAATGAATAGGTACAACACAGAAGGCACGAAAAGAAAGAAAGAAAGAAAGAAAGAAAGAAAGAAAGAAAGAAAGAAAAAAGAAAGAAAGAAAGAAAGAAGGAAAAGGTGGAACAGAATAAAGAAGTAAATGAAAGGGAACAAAACAGAAAACAAGACGATAAATAAAAAAGGAAAAGCTGGAAAGAAAGTAAGAATGAACGAAAGAAAGAAACAAAAGTGGAACAGAAACGTGAATTTTAATGAAAGAGAATAAAACAAAAATCAAGGAAAGAAAAAGAAAAAGAAAAAAAGGAAAGAAAGAAAGGACGAAAGAAAGTAACAATCAATTAAAAGTTATTACATAAAAACAAAGTAAATGAAAAGGAACAAATCAGAAAGCCATAAGCAAGAAAGTAAAAGAAAAAAAGGAAGAAAGAAAAGGCGAAAGAAAGCACGAAAGAAAGAAAATGGAACACAAAATAAAAGTAAATGAAAAGAAAAAAATGAAAGCAAGAATGCAAAATAAATTTTAAAAAAAAGAAGTAATGCAATGGCAGAAAATAATAAGTCAAAAGAAAGCGTGCAGTGGTTAGCGTTCACGTCTGCTTAAATGTTACTTCAAAGCAGCTAGTTTGCTCCTCCCCATATTTGTGGCTTTGTGACAAATTTAGCATATGTTTAATAAATAAAACCAGGTATATATTTTAAAACAATAAATTCAAGTCTCAATTTCCACGATAAATAAATTTCTGTTAATTTCATCCGATTCGTTTTGAAATCTAAATAGGAAACCTTTTTTTTTTCTTCTTTCAAATATTCGTCACCACTTTTGTTACAGAAAAAACAAATTCAATAAAAATGATTTGTTATCTTCATAGATTTATCATCAAAATATTTTACAACGGCCTGAATTCAAAAATCTGAATTTGTTTATTTTTGGTTTCATTTCGTTTAAAGGAAATGGATACTTAATTATAAAGCGTTTTCACAAGTTTTGTTTGTTTGTTTTTTTTTTTCGTTTCATTCGACGAACAAAAATATTTCTACGATCTCTAAAGTTAACAACTGAATATTATTTTTGCGAAAATGTCTAATCTCGAGTCAAAATTTTAGAAATTTTACTTTTATAAAATGCCTGTAGAGGCCTCCAAATGTAATTTAGTTGAAAAAAAAAATACTGTTCGAGCTTTTTTTTTTCTATTTATTTGCGTGCATGAGCACGCATGCGTGTCGGAGAGCTTTTGTAATGGAAGACAAACAAATTCACAACAAAGGTATGCAAACACCCGCCTAAGAATATCAGGTTTTGTAACTAAATTATGATTATCGGAATATCATGCGTACATGTAAAATGCATAAAGTACTTTTCAATATTTGCAGACATATGCATACATCTAAATACAAACACGCACAAACACAAACGTATACAGTGTAACCCGGATATAAGAGAGTTGTCGGGACCGGAGAAGAAGTCTCTTATATCCGGGTTTCTCTTATATCCGGGTCTCTTATATCCGGGTTACACTGTATTTAAAATTCAAAGAAAAAGACTAAATTAATAAGCTATTATTTAGAATATATAATACGTAAATTAATGCGAAATTAAAATAATGTAAATAACAATTACATAATATAAAAAAACGAATCTATCTCTTTAAGATTAACAGGACAGACTGTATCTTATAGCTTTGGTCTATCGCATAAAGAAATGGCAACCTACTGTGGGAAAATCTTTTGCCGAGTCATGAATCGAAAGAGACATGATCGCCTGAGCGTGTATCGCAGATGATATTTAACTGACTGAATCGACCATTCCGGTCATAATTTAGCAATTTTTGCGGAGTCTTCAAATAGTGATTTTCCAAGCGTAGCTTAGATGTGGCACAAGGCCGAAAGTATGGGGCACCCAGTGAGGATCGAACTCACTACTCAGTCGTAATTGTTTTAACAAGACAAGCTTGCTAACCATTACACCACCTTGAAGCGCCCCATTATGATTTTCTACGCGTAGCTTAGATGTGGCACAAGGCCGAAAGTATGAGGCACCTAGTGAGAATCGAACTCACTACTCAGTCGTAACTGTTTTAGCGAGACAAGCTTTCTAACCATTACACCACGTCGAGGTGTCCCTGCGGAGTCTTCAAATAGACACCAGAACTGGAGTTGTCCTGACGGAAGACGACACTCTTTCGATCGGCTAATTCTGGGTGCTTTTCATTAATTGCTGCCCTTAAGTGGTACAATTCGTAACAGTACTTGTTTAAATTCGACGCCTGTTTTATTTATTTATTGCAGAAGTAGCACCTAATGCACGACCTTGAAAAACGACCTTCAGTCTGTTGTTAACTGAAACAAAGGATGTTTTGTTAATTTTAACGCCCCAAAAACTAAACCCCTCCCTATTAATCATCTGAGAGACTCACTTTCAGCCTTCCATCAGTATGGCTGATGCTAACCTCCAGGAGAGTGACTTGTTGCGCCTTCTCGGGCTAGCGTTCTCGACTGACATGAAGTGGAAAAACTATATTGAATACATTACTAGGACAGCTGCAAAGAAAGTTGGTTCAATGCGTCGAGCTAGACATTGTTTTTCTCTTCAGAATCTATCTTACATAACTATAGGTCTACAATTCATCCATACTTTGAATATTGCTACCATATATGGCCCGGTGTTTCTGACATATATCTAGCGATCCTTGATAAAAAAATTAAAAAAAACACTCAGCAATACTATCGGTCCTGATCTGGCATCTCAGTTTCATTCACTTTTCCACTTTTTCACTTTTTTTGGGATATTGTTCACCTTGTGTTGAACATAGGCTAACCCCGCCCGAAATTAGGCTAGTTTAGGGTTGTTTTTGTATCTTTAGTTTCTTCATTCCAGTTAACTTAGCTAGGGGATGTATGCTCATTGGCCCCCCCTTTTTTGTCACCATTTTTTCTTTGGTTTAATTGCCAATCCCCTCCCTCGTTAGGTGGTTAGTGATGTCAGTTCTCTGGTGGATGCGGGGCGCCTTTCGTTTCGCGTGTGTTTTTTTTAATCCAATATCCTATATCCATATTTAATCCTATATCCCATATCCATATTTAATCCCATATCCATATCCCATATCCATATCCCATATCCATATTTAATCCCATATCTCATATCCATATCCCATATCCATATTAATCCCATATCTATATCCCATATCGATATTTAATCCAATATCCTATATCCATATTTAATCCCATGGCCATATTTAATCCCATATCCATATCCCATATCCATATTAAACACATATCTCATATCCATATCCCATATCCTAATTTAATCCCATATTTCATACCCATATCCCATATCCATATTTAATCACATATCGATATCCCATATCCATATTTAACCCAATATTCTCTATCCATATTTAATCCAATATCCCATATCCATATCCCATATCCATATTTAATCCCATATCTTATATCCATATCCCATATCAATATTTAATCCCATATCTCATATTGTTGTGACCAAGTATATGGTTACAGAAATAACAAAACAAGTGTTACAGATATATCATATATTAAACAGTAAGTACAACAGAAGTGTATTACACGACTAGTGAGGGTGTGTCGGTTGACCCAGCATTCAATCTATTCGACTGTTCACCCAAGGACTTCTCTCCTGCTAATCTTATTGTAGACGGAAGTGTCCAACATAGAGGGAGGACACCACAACACATATCCCTATCCCATATCCATATTTAATCCCATATCCTGCATCCATATTTAATTCCATATCCCATGTCCCATATCCATATCCCATATCCATATTTAATCGCATATCCTATATCCACATCCTATATCCATTATCCATTCCCATATGCATATCCCATATCCATATTCCATATCCATTTCCATATCCATATCTCCATCCCATATTCCATATCTCCATCCCATATTCCATATACTTTACAACTTTAATATGGAATATGAAGAGTATCTCTGTGATGTCTTGTTTTATTCAATCAGGATTATTGTTTTTAAGTTTCAGATTGATCATCATCAACGGTTATAGGCCCACCGGATCGATCTCGGTCTTCTGGATCAAAATTTCCTTTTCTGAGACTAGCGAACCACTTACGCACGGTGCTTTCTGCTATGGCACCATCTCCATAAATGGCACATATATTTTTGCTGTTTGTACACTGTTGAGTTTTCATCGAATGCGGAAAAAAAATCTCATTCTCTTTCATGTTCCCTTTTAACGTAAAAAAAACAAACATTTCATATTCCAAAAACATAAAAAACATCATTAACCAAAAATTTATTGGAATAAAAGATTGAAATCGTCAAAAAAATGTTTAAAAAAGGATGCTGGAAAGTGGAAAAAAAGAATTTTTTAGTAAAAATTAAAGAAATGTTACATTCTAATACAAGAGGATATGTAAGAAAAGCTGTGGAGAAAGAAACAATGCCAGGCGGTCAAATTTGGTGAAGGACACTTAATGGTGTGGAGATGCATCAAAAGGTATGGTAGAAGAATATTGGTAAATGTTCCTGGAAATCTAAACAGCAAAAATATATTAGTTTACTACAGTCTAATCTTCTGCGGGACTACGAAGATGGCGATTTTTTTCAGCATGACGGTGATCCTTGCAATATATCACATGCAACGAAAATATTTCTTGTGGAAGATGTTCAACTTTTGGGCGACCTGCTAGCACAAAGCTCTGATCTCAATATAATTGAACCATTGTGGTGGGAACTGAAGAAATAAGTGCTCCAACAAAAAGACCTAATCTTCAAGAGGTTTGAGATTAGTCAAGAAGAATAGGAAATAAATGCTAAGGAGAAAATCTGAACTTTGGACGACCGGCTAGCACAAAGTTCTGATCTCAATATAATTGAACTATTGTGGAGGGAACTGAAGAAATAAGTGCTCCAACAAAAAGACCTAATCTTCAAAAAGTCAAGAAGAATAGGAAATAAATGCTAAGGAGAAAATCTGAACTTTGTTCTATGCAATGCCATATCGAATTGAGGTAATTATTCGAGCCAATTATTAACTCCATAATTTGATCACATTTTCCAAAAAAAAAAAAAAAGAAAGATTTCCTTTTTAACTTAAGAGCTGAAACGTGAAATTTTCTCTGGTTGCCTAGTATTTTTACATAGACATTTTTCGACCTCACTATAATTAAGATGTTCTACCATCGTC